TAAAACCTTTCTCCACAGTAGCCAGAAAAGAACATCAGATGCTTCTAAGTACTTCCTCAGAGAACTTGTGAATAAAGCAACAGGAAATTGCTCGCTCAGTTTAGCAAGTGGACATCTCAGCCGTTCTAGTGCCTCTAGAATAACGTTTGCAAGGTGGATCTTTGAGATTTGCACTTCTCTGAATTTCCTAGGTAGCCATGCAAATACCAAGGTTGGGAAGACTGCTGCAGAGCTGGGGAAAAGAAAGAGAAAGGAAGGAAGGAAGGAAGGAAGGAAGGAAGGAAGGAGGGAGGGAGGGAGGGAGGGAGGGAGGGAAGGAAGGAAGGAAGGAAGGAAGGAAGGAAGGAAGGAAGGAAGGAAGGAAGGAAGGAAGGAAGGAAGGAAGGAAGGAAGGAAGGAAAAGACAAGAACTATTGGGATGAATGAAACATCAGGTATTACGCTGCAAAATGTGATGGCCATTTTGCTCAGTTACAGAGTGTGAACAATATGCTTTGTAACTTTCCTATGCTCTTATTCAAATGGTATCTCAATGCTTCATTGACATCTCTAGGTGGGAATATGAGAAAAGGAGAGGTGAGATTTGGCAACAAACAGCAATATAAACTTGGAACTGTGGAAGATCATACAAAGAAATAGAAGGGCTTTTAGATGAGCCTTTTATTTTGCAGCTTTCCTATCTTATTCGTAGAGAAATTTACAATGCAATAATGCTGTTTTAAATTTTAAATTCCGTGTGCTTGATCAATCACCAAGATGAAATATATATTTCTTGGGCAGTATACATCTGATTAACTGATACTGAGAACATGGGACAAGTAAACATTTCTTCAACCAAGTCTTGTTTATCACAAGCATTTGGGTGGCATGAATGCTGGAATGGAAGGCCACTCACCAAACTTATGTTGAAAAGGTTGAATTTATTACATGACAATCTCTTCAGAAGTGATCGTTCTCATTTGTAAAAAAATTTCTCCATGTATGTTTTTAGAGCTAGAAAATCACTTTCTAAAAATCATTTTGCTTTGTGAAACATGGTTTCCTTTGATCTGTGGTTTCAGTTTGTCTCAACATCACATACCCAGAGCTTACTCAATGCTTAACCAGCAAATACTCAGTAATACTGTGACAACATTTCCAGCAGTGGACAACAATTCAGCACAGGCCTTTAATATTTATTTGATTCAAAACTCTCCCTTTTGTCTCACTCAGAACTCTTTTGTCATCCCTACTGCTTTACTTGAATATCCGTAGTCTCTTTTTTTTAAAAACGGATTGCTTTCTTATGACTCTCGCTATAACTCCTAGCATGTATTATTGCTCATAACCAACATTTGACCTTCAGCTCCAGAAATTTAGAAGAAGTTTAGTGTCTGTTTAGTTTGGAGATTGAGTCGAGATGTGTTTGTATAGAGCGGGAAAAGGAACACTGTATACTTATTGAAACAAAACCCATATCTTGACTTCTGTGCTCCAGCCTACAGCTCAGTAGCCACCGTTAAATATAAGGAAAGATGTTTATTTAACCACCAAGCAACCACCTAAATAGTAGCAGATGATTGTGGTAGGTCAAATATATTTGGTGACAGCACTTTAGACTGTCTTAACGGAATATTTTCTGGTCATTGTTTTTAAAAATCTTAATTTTCAAAACAACTTATAATCAGGAAAAAACCTCACACATTGTGTGCATGGTTGGAGGGGCTTTCTTTTATTTAAACTTTTTAGATAGCTTAACCTTTTCTGGAAGAAACAGTGCATACTTTCAAGTAAGATGCTTAGCATGAGAGCAGTGTTCCTTAGAGTCCTATCACTGGAGCGAATTTAAATTGTGAAACAGAAGGTGTTTAGAATATTTCCCTCCACAGGCTAGCAAAGAGTTTCTCTCATTTACTTCAAAACAGGGGTGTCAAACTCAAGGCCCGCAGGCTGTATGATGTGGTCCGATTCGGCCTGTGGGGCCATCCTGGTACCCAGTGCAGAAAGATCAGGCTAGCGTGGCTTCAGCCTGGTCTACCCAATGTGAAGAGGAAACATGCCAGCAGTTTGGGAGTGGTGTCAAGCTGGCCATGCCCATCCAGTGGTCAGACCACCCAGTTGGCCATAACCACCCAGTGAGCCACACCCACCTGGCCCTCCAAGGTCAATCACAGCCCTGATGTGGCCCTCAATGAAGTTGACTTTGATATTCCTGCTCTAAAAAAATCAAGAACAGGGAAGCAATAAAAGTGCATGGAATGGCAGAGAGGAATAGGAGACAAATGTTTGATTATGTATTGTGGAAAACGTAAGACCATTCAGCCCAGATCATTCCAGATTCCGAAGTTACCTACATTAGCTGTACCACTCTGCTATATTGCTGTAATGTTGACCAGAAGGCTGGCTAGATACAAGAACCCAATGTGAAGAAGCCAATGTCCATACAAGATCAAGAAAAGACAAAAATCTTTTATTTCTGTTCAGAAGTAGAAGAGGACAGTTCTGAGTTTCACATCCCAGGAGCACATCAGAAATCAGGCTCAGTTATTTTTATACAATACAAAAAGAGAATTGCCAGTTGGTTACGTGACAGCCACGCATGTGCACAAAGCAAAGACATCCCATAATACTCTATTAATTAATTAATTAATCTTACTTCATTATCATATACATTATCATATACACCCCTCAGTATGTTTTTATTATGCTAATGATAAACTTTGCACTTCCACGGATTCTTGTCCGGAGACCTCTAACCATTGCTTAAGCTAAATTTCATGTTGCCTTCCTTGAATCCAGTAATGAGTTCACTTGCAAAGTGCCTTAGTTGAGTGACAAATCTATAACTTGTTAGTCTATACGGTAGACATTTATGGTCAGTCTATGGAGTGCTTTTGGTCAACCCCTTTAGCTCTTGTTGGCAGGTATTAAAACGTGTTCCCTAGTACAGTGGTCGCCAACTAGTGGGCCGGGGACCATTGGTGGTCCGTGAGAAAATTTTGGTGGTCCGCAGAGAAATGTCACCCCCAAAGCAATTAATCCAGGCTGCGCTGGAACACAAGGCTGTGCTACCCACATGGCCTGGGGGAACGCAAGGCTTGCATCGCTTGCATTACGAACAACACGAGGTAGTGAGGGGAGGGGGGGAAAGGGTGGAGAGGGAGCTTGCCTCATGCACCTGGCCTGGCCACTGGGCTACTTCTTTCCACTTGTTTCTTCTGCTGCTTTTGGCTGCACACAAGGAAAGCAGCAAAAGTCTTTCTTTCTCTTCCCCAAACTCCACCAGAAAGGCATCTTTGGGACCCTGCAAGGCATCCTGCTCCAAGAGGCTGCACCAGCATGACATGATGGAGTTTGGGGGAGAGAAAGACAGACTTCTGTTGCTTTCTTTGCATGAAGCCAAAAGTCTCTCTCGCTTTCTCTCCCCCTGAGAACAGAGCTGGAGACAGTATCTTGCGATCCCAAATAAAGAATGATCATAGGAAAATGGGGTGGGGAATTTTCCTGCAGATTTTTTTTTGCGGGGGGGGGGGGGGACTTTCCCAGGGTCTCTTTCTGCAGAGACCCAGGCAAAATGTCAGCAAGCCACTGTCAGTCAAAATTCATATTAGTGGTCTGAGGGATTTAAAATTATGAGTCTGGTGATCCCTGAGGTCCAAAAGGTTGGTGATCCCTGCCCTAATAGGCACAGGAAAACTAATAGCTCTGCCTGAAGTTAATTTATAGCTTATAAAAAGCTTCTAATTACTTATTAATAAGCTAATAAAAACTAGGCAAATTTCCATGCAGTAGGAGGCACAGGATATTTCTGTTGTCTACATCTTCTACATCAACACCAGCACTGGTAGCCTTATTTACCCTAATGCAAGGCTCTGCCATTAATCAACAAAACACATGATTGTGGAAAATACAACGGTTATATAAGGCCTTCTGTTTAAATCCCATTTAAGCAATTTCACAGAATTTAAGTAATCCCTCTGGGATATTAATTATGAAAAAATGGAACTTGAGAAAATAGCATCTCTGGTTCAGCTCAAAGTTCAAAAGGACTTCTCTTAGTTACACAATCATATATATGAAAGAATGAAGAGCTGCCACGTTAGACTCAACAACAGAAGAATGGCAGTCAAGTAGTCCTAAATAATATGAAACACACTTCATCTTTTGTTGCATCTTTCTCTGAATAGCTTGTTGAGGAAAATGTCTTTCTGGCTCAGAGACATGTCGATTTACAGTTTAAATTATTTTGGATGTATTATAATTATTATTTATGGATTCTATGGCAGCATTCATAGAAAATATGGGACAAATTATGGAACATGTTGAAGGCTGAATTACTGCACTTTGTCAATGACATGTTAGGATTAAAATAATTTGTTAGAATTGATACAAATAGAGAGACTATAGAAAATGTCCAAGGCAATTCTTTCTTATCCGAACTGCCTGAGTCATTTACAAAGAACCTACTACCAGCAGAGGGAATTATGGTTGATTTAACAAATATTCCAATATTCAGCCAGTTTGTGCCTGCAATTGCAATTGTGGCCAATTAAAGCTTTTTTTAAAAAAACCTCTCCCTCTTTCTCAGTATGTGGGTGAGGGTGGGACCATTAAATACAAATTTCTGTCAAAACCAAATACATGTCATGTCATTAAAGTTAGGTAATTTGTGTAATAATTTGAGATAAATGGGTCCATTTGCAGTAAAACCTCTCTTTAACAGACAAATCCTTAATGGAGATGAAGTTTGATTATATGCAAAGTTTGTTCAGCTGTGATCCATAAGCCAAGTTTTTATATCAAAGTATGTACAGTTCTTAATACATTGTTTAGGGAGCCAATGCCGTAAACCATTATATTAAAATAAGAAAAGTGATAAAAATTATGGGAAGGAAGGAAATCAAGAGAGCAGTCATACAACTTGGAGAAATGGTTTTTCAGAGAAATAAACAGAGCTTTTTTAAAATGACATTAATTAGCATTCCCAAATCAAAGCAAAGAGTGATCTCTGCAGTTTTTGATGTATCATCACGGAAAATGCCAGGTTATGCAGCCACAGAATTTTTTCAGTTGCCTTTTCTTCAGGGGGGCAAGTTTATTACAGGGTAGTTGAAGTGTTACCAGAGGAAGTTGATAAGCTGGATCCCCTCCTATATCGTATCAGGATCTCTTTGCTGATGATACCTCGTGAGACCAAGATCTTGAGGAAGTTGTTCCGGAATTTCTGTCCTATAAAGGCGTATATGATGGGGTTGATACAGCTGTGAGCAACGCCCAAAATCTCAGTACCTGACAAAGCATCATCAACTCTTTGTCGAACTGAGCAAGTGTCCGTAATGATGTCAATCCTCAACAAAGTATCAAAAAGCAGGGCGATGTTGTAAGGCAGCCAACAGATCACAAAGACCAGCACTACGGCCAAGATTACTTTCATTGCCTTCTTCTTTTGCTTGTTCTTCATCTGGTAGAGTCTGTGCACTGTTATTCCATAGCAAATGATCATGATAATCAAGGGGAGGAGAAAACCAAACACCTGAGGTAAAATTCTCAACACTACCCTCCATTTTGTTGTTTGATTCCCACCAATGTTCTCATAACAAACTGTGTGAGGGGGATTTGAATTTAGAAAAGCTTCTCGGAAGCGGATCACAGGAAGCGAAAATAGGAATGCAAAGAGCCAGATGCCGATGCAGACAAATTTGACCCAGTGTCTCTTCTGAGTGGCTGCCCGAGTCGCATAAACTATGGCCAAATAACGATCAAAACTGATAAAGGCCAACAGGAGGACACCACTGTAGAAGTTGATTTCCTTCAGGACTGAGGCAATTTTGCACATGAAAGTGCCAAAGATCCACTCATGAGCTCGATCCACAGCCCAGATGGGCAAAGTGACTGCAAAGAGGAGGTCGGCAATAGCCAGGTTCAGGAGATAAACATCAGTAACAGAATGGTTTTCTTTACTGTAGCTCACCACCATAATCACCAAGGAGTTGCCCAACAGGCTCAAAATGCAGACCAGCAAATAGATAGATGCTACTATATATTTCATTGCAACTGTTGTTTGCTGTGGATTGCAAGCTTCTATAAATGGACCTAGGGATTCTATAGTATCATTCAAGTAATCACTATAGTTCTCTAGAATGCCTGAAAGGACAATATCATCCCAATTGAAACTGTTGTCTCCCATCTTGGATCTCTTGCTGTAGGCCTGCATAGAACATGAAGTAAAGACAGGTCAATAACTTTTTCTAGGCAAAAGGCAACCTCCTGATCATAAAGTGATTCTTTAAGGTATCCAACAGAGATCAAAATTGTTCAAAAGAAAGATAAGCTAATCAACTTTGAACATGGCACTGGGCATACACAGTTCCATACAGTTGTTAAATTGCGGAATGCTCATCTGATTAATGCCACTGGCAAACTCTGCCTCCCTGCTAGTGATGCCAAGCCACCGTAGCACCTAGGCATCTAGCATAAAGATGTGCAGGAGGAGTGCATGTGTGTGAAGGATGACTTCTACATGACCAAGACCCAGATGAGACCCTTATAACCAAAAAGCCAAAGAAGTTGAACCACAATCACTCCCTCTTACTGTGAGATCTGAAGAAATCCTACAGCTAAGAGTAGGTGCTTTCAAACGGGGAAAATTCTCTTTTAATTTGGATTGAAGTGATTTTAAAAACATTCCATTCCATGGGGATGTTGTTCCTATTGTTTTGCAAATTTAGTGTTCAATATTTCTTTTCAGCATTAATTAAATAATGGAAATACTGATGAGGAAATATCGCTGACTCGGAGTTGGCATGAAGGCAAGCCCTTGATTATTTCCATTATGAGGGGTCCTTGGTGCTCTGTGAGCTTGGTTGTTTTCTTGCAGATGTTTCATTACGCAAGCCAGATAACATCATCCATAATGAAATGTCTGCAAGAAAACAATCAAGCTCAGAGAGCACCAAGGACCCCTCATAATGGAAATAATTAAGGGCGTACCCTTGGAGATCCTTATTTTTAATCTAAAGTAGAGGTTAATTCTTTAGAGATATTCTCTATCTACTTAAGGATACTTGGTTCCTGACACACAAGTGCCAACAATTAAAAGACACTGTGCAGCTCTTTTTCTACTTAATAGATTAGGAAAAAAAGTGATGAGAACCAAAGGTGACAAGGCATTTTCACCAAAGAAGCTTGTTCTAGAACTACCCTCATCTGGAAGAATTCACCAATGGCATTTACTGCTATGCTACAACATCATGCAAAGTCTTTTCCTATTCTATAAAGAAAGCTTATTGGGTTCTGGTTTTATTGTGATTGACTTGAATCCCATGTCTTTCCTTTCCTTGCTTGCATTAGCAGTATCCTTGCTGCTTTATATCTTAGGGAAGGATTGAGAGAGGGTAAAGGGTCCTAGATTTTGCCTTCACGCATACCTTGATATTTCTGTGCCCCCCACCCCACCTCCTTGATGTGATGTGTGGTCTCAGGCAACCTGTCTTCCTCAGCCTGCTATGTTCTAAGGTACGGATTATAACTACCACTTTCTGGATATATTAAAGAAATAGAGAACATAAACAATCCAGAAGATAGTACATAAGAGTTGTTTAAATATTCTCCAACCAGATATTGGAACCATATTACCAACCACTGGAAATCAGAGGATTTGTAAATCAAGGCTTCCAAAAAGATCAGCCAAATGTTTTCTTCAATCTGGTGGCTCTAAAATACTCCCAGTTGCCAACTATCCCCAACTAGAGGAGAACAATAGCTTTCCTTCTTAACGCAATGAAGGGTTTTTAAAAAGCTCAACTGAAAAACATGCATACATCATTACAAGCCCGGTATTTTCTCTGTCTCCTTTCCCACCAATCCTCATCCCTGTTGCTGCTTCAATGATTGTAAGATTCATTGTGCCAGCAAAATGCCTAATCAAGTGAAGGAAATCCCACCTTATGAAATAGTTAACACTTAATTATAGATATACTGCAGCAATAGTCTCCAGGTCCATTAACCATCATCATCCATAATGAAATGTTTGCAAGAAAACAGACAAGATGTTTCATCTACTTTCCCAACCTGATATCCTCCAGATGCATTGAACAAATGTCTTCCAGAATCCCATGTGATCTAAGTATTTTGGCTGCATTTTGTAGTCCAGCTCATCAGAAGGATGCTAGACTTGGGGAAAGTGATATAGCTTTGTAATAATTGCATTTGGAGGTATAACTAGAGTACAGCTTGAGCTTTCAATACCCTTAGCATCCAGAAGTCTCTCCACAGAATACACTTTACCAAATAATTCCTACTCACACTCATTTTGACTCTTATGCACCCAAATTTTATTCTTCCTTACATGGTTAGGTAAAATGACCAAAAGTGTGTTCCTTACTTACCTGCCTGTTCTGGAGAGTCCTTTTATCAGTACACAAATTTTGATTGTGAACATTCAACCTTACCAGGAGGAACTGACCCTTGCAAAACTTCCCTCCACAAAACTCAGAAAAGAACATTAGACCCTTCTAAGTATTTCTTCAGAGAACTGGTGCATAAAGCAACAGGAAGCTGTTCACTGTTTAGCAGGTGGTCATCTCAGCTGCTCTAGTGCTTGTAGATTAATCTTTGCAAGGTGGATTCCTGAGATCTGCACCTCTCTGAATTTCCCAGCTACCAATGCAGGTACTAGATTAGCAAAATTCCCGTAGAAGGAAAGGAAAGGTTATTGGAATAAATGAGACATTTATGGAACAAATCAGATTATTTATGTTGCAAAATGTGATAACTATTTTGCTCAAGGATTAGAGTGTAAATAACATGTTTTGTGACTTTCATATGCTCTTATTCGAATGCTGAGCCTCAATGTTTCACTTACATCTCTAGGTGGGAAGATTAGAAAAGGAGAGGTGAAATTTGGCAACAAACAGCAATATAAACTGGTAACTGTGGAAGACAATCTTACAAAGAAACCAAAGGGCTTTTGGTGAGACTCTTATCTTGCAACTTTCCTGTCTTATTATAGAGAAATTTACAATGCAATCATGCTCTCTTCCATATCTAATTTCCCTCTTCCTTGATCACTGGTTGTTTTTTTTTACACAAACACACCCACCCTTTCCATAGCATAGAAGCATATAATTGTGTGACATCTTTTACATAATAGGATTATAAACATTTCATTTAAAAGCATTCCAGTAGAAATCACCACAATGAGTGATGCATGAAATATAAGCAATAATAATGAGAGGAACAGCATTAAAGGCAGAAGCATTAAGACAGAATAAAGGTGTGAAGGTAGAAATGGGGGTAGATATTCAATAAGCAGTTTTCCTATACATAATTTTCCTGGCTCATAAGATACCAGTACATGTGTGTCTTTAAAAAAAATGGTGGTCACAGCACACAAAGAATCCTTTCGGAAGTGGTTGTTCGCCTACTGAGTATGTCAAGCAGAGATGGTATTCAGCAGGTTCTGACCAGTTCTGGAGAACCATTAGTGAAAATTGTGAGTGGCTCAGGGAACCAGCAAATACCACCTCTGACTGGCCCTGCCCCCTTCTATTCTCTGCCTCCTGAATCCTAGCTGATCGGCTCGATCTTCTTTTGTTGCCCTGCGCAGGAGAACGGAGCTGGAAAGCAGGTTAGTGGGGTGGGGAGGGAATGGGGATTTTGCAGTATCCTTCCCCTGCCACGCCCACCAAGCCACACCCACAGAACTGGTAGTAAAAATGTTTGAATCCCACCACTGATGTAAAGTGTGTAATCAGTCCCCAAATGGTCTTGCATGCTTCTGGAGATGTTCATTTGGGAAGAAACTGATATATGATCCATCACTGCGATGAAATCTGTATTTCTGGGGCAGTATCTATCTGATTAATAGATACAGAGAACAAGGGACATGAAAACATTTCTTCAATCAAGGCCTGTTTATCAAGAGCATTTAGATAGCATGAATGCTGGAATAGAAGACCGCTCATTAACTTATCTTGAGAAGTGTATTTATTAGTAGCACATGACAATCTCTTCAGAAGTGACTTCTCATTTGTACAACATATTTTGTCATGTATTTTTATAGCTGGAAAATGACCTTCTGAGTAGTACACAAAAATCATTTTGCTTTGCAAGATGGTTTCACTCGATCTGTGGTTGCAGTTTATCTCAAGACCACCCTCACGGGGATGTCAAACTGGCGCCCTGTGGGCCGGATGCATCACGGGCAGGCCGTGCCCAACCCAGCTACATGAAGGGGGAAAATGTCATGAAACTTCACGTGACAGCAATATGACGCTGCCAGTTTGACACCCATGCTCTAGGAGTTTGCTAAATGCTTGACTAACAAATACTCGATAACACTGTGACAACTTTTTCAGCCGTTCACAACAATTAATCACAGGCATAATAACATTTATGTGATTCAAAGCTCTCTTCTTATGGAAACTTATCAAAGAGAGATCCAACCTAGAACTAGGGAGAAAATTGACAGTGAGAACAATTAATCAGTGGAACAGAAGTTGTGGGTGCTCCGTCACTGGAGATTTTTAAAGAACAGATTGGGCAGCTATTTGTCTGGAATGGTATAGGATCTATTGTTTGAGCAGGTGGGTTGGACTAGAAGACCTCCAAGATACTTTCCAGCTCTGTTGTTCTGTTAAACCTTTTTTTTTTTTTTTGAACAAACAGTGCCTATTTTCAAGTAAGGCGTTTAGCATAAGGGGAGCATTCCTTAGACTCCTATCAATGGAGTGCATTTAAATTGTGAAACTGAAAATGTTTAGAATATTTCCCTCCCCAGACTGGCAAACAGTTTCTCTGGTTTACTCTAAAAGATCAGGAATGGAAACACAGTTGAAGTTCATGGAATGGCAGAGAGGAATAAGAGACAAATCTTTAACCTTAGACCGTCTACTATTGACCTCACCCCTTTCCTAAGAGGTCTGTAGGGGGCGTGAATAAGCGCACCAACGTGCCTACAGTCCCTGTCCTATTGTTTATTTTTTCTTGTTCGTATCCATTTCATGTGTTTATTACCATGTTTATACTTATACTGTTGTCTAATAATTGTTTGACAAAATAAATAAATAAATATAATAAAAAAATAAAATGTGTGATTAAGTAC